TAAGATATCTTCAATTAACCATAGTTTCCCATTGTTTCAGAACTAGGACTATGATGATCAAGTTTTGAATAAATCTTTTTATTAACCATTCTTCAAATGATCTGAAGATTCTTTCTTATTTTCTGATCATCTTTGTTTAATGGGTCAAATAATAACAGGAAATATTAATATTTTCAAATGTAATTTTAATGCTTGCATGTCTCTGATGGCATGTTAGAACTGGATGAGATTGCAAGTACTGAATTAGAAGTTCTGTGACTTGCTCTTTGCTTATTAATCATTTGAAGTTGGGAGCAAATAATTATCCTGCAGAGTCTAACACAGAAGCCTGTTATTCTAATATACCTAGAGACCTCTTCCTTGGCATCCAGCAAGCTTCCTGCCTCAGCTAATCTTTTTAATTTTTAGATTGATTTGATTTTATAGCCTAAACAGGAAATTGGCTCCTGTAAAGGAGAATGTCAACCTCTTGAGTTACCTTTCTTTTTACAAATGCCTCTGGACTCTATATTGACTTCAGTGGCACACTCAGTAACTAGAAATGGGTATGTGGCTGCAACCCAATATTTTATCTGGAAATATTTCCACCACACTGGGGAAAAAATGCAGGTAGTCTAAGATGGAAGCAACCATCCTGAGGGCTAGAAAAGGTTAAGGGAAGCAATTACATTAGTTTGCTTTGAGAGGTTGGTACACATCTACAGAAACACACCCATATACAGACACGTGTGGGTGGGTGTAAAGAGAGTGTTTATTTTGTTGAACTTGTATGGACCCCTGGTTTGAAAGAGGGGTCAAAGAGGCCATCTATATCAAATTGAATAGCCCTCTCTCAACAATGGGGGATGGATACAGCATCATCTATCTCCAGTCTACAACATAGTCCTTTCAGCAGTTCCAAGGAGGCTCCATACCCATTTGCACTACTCAGGTGACTCTGAGGACACAGATAAACTTCCAGGTAGCCTCAACTCTCTAAAAGAATGCAAATGACCAGCTGTCTTCAAGGAGCATAGATCCTTCCATTCCTTACCATCCAGTCAGAACTGAAGAAGTTTGTTGGATGAGAAGTGAAAGGTCTTCAAAAGAAAAACCGGTTGCCTCTTGAAAAAAGAATCTTTGGGACAACCATGATCTAAATGATTGAGAATCTCCATAGACACTGGCCCAGAACAACAAAATATATTTTAAGTGAATGACTTGAATTTAGTACATTGAATTTTTAAAAGCAGAAATATTAATATGTTCCAGGTTTAATGTTCTTATATGAGAAATATAAATTTTATCTATTATAATTATTAACCAAACAAAATTTAATTTAGGTGCAATAATCCAAATTATCTGCATTTCCTATTCTAATTGTTTTATGTACAAGTTATAGAGACAGAACTAATATTATGTGTTCCAGAGTCATGAACATTTGAGAAGAAAATATATGCGTCATATGTCATTCTAGATGATGTACAAATTCTTCACAGTAGTTAACAAAGTTTTAAGCTTTGGGCTTTAGGCAGTTACTTTCTGTTGCCAGTATGCTAATGTTAGGGGTTGACTAGTCATACCCCTGAAGTAATGTAGATGCAGATATGAAAAAGTTATTTGATTGATATATAATGACAGCAATGTCACAGAATCTTTGGTGGATTTCAGTAAAGATTTTTTTTTATTTTTCTTCCCAACATAATTCTTAGAAATAACTGTTGTAATAAAATCCATCCATGTCTTTGCCATAAAGGTAAAGGTTCCCCTGCACATATGTGCTAGTAATTCCTGACTCTGGGGGGTGGTGCTCATCTCCGTTTCAAAGCCAAAGAGTCAACGTTGTCCGAAGACGTCTCCATGGTCATGTGGCCGATATGACTAAATGCTGAAAGTGCACAGAACACTGTTACCTTCCCATCAAAGGTTGTCCCTGTTTTTCTACTTGCATTTTTTACGTGCTTTCGAACTGCTAGNTTTGAACGGTCACTAAACAAACTGTTGTAAGTCAAGGACTACCTGTAATATGTAGATGTCAAACTATTTGGAGAGTTCAACCAAGAAAATTAGAAGGAACCAAAACTTGAGTCTATCTTTGTTATTCATTTTGGTAAAACACATAAAACATACTGCCAAAAACAGATTTAAAAAGGGGAAGTTATGTGGGCGCACATTAAACAAAATCCCACAAAACAGAAAAGTTATTCTTACGGCCCCAGATCTTCAATTTCACTTTTTAATGTTAGTTATACATTTAACTTTTAAGAGGAAGGATTCTCCATTCCTGTGATGCATCTTTCTGCTACCATCTCTATGTGGATTACCTGCTAATTTAGAGATTCTCAAAGTGGGGCCACTGATGACTCATACCAGTATCCCAAATTCACCAGCCAGAGCTGATCATCAGTGTCAGCAATGACCCACTTTAACTGAAGTCCATTTGCCAACACAGCCCCTGCCTCAACCTGTAATTAAAGCCTTAATTTTGGATTACATCCTTGGTAAAATATGCCTTTTAAAAACTCTTTTTAAATGGGGGTATAAAAGTATCTACAACTCCATCTATTACCAGTATTTTATTCACTAACAACTTCCATGTTTTTAGACACAAGCACAGGGGGGTTATGTTTAATTGTGGAATCCCCACATTTTCTAAATAGTGTCCTACAACTGTAGCAATTTGGGGGAACAATGTGATAGATGAAGCTGCTAAATCTTTGAACAGAGGCAAGATGGATTGTTTCATTGTCTATGACAATTCTTTTCCTTTTACGTTGGAGATCCAAATTGATTCACTTTCATTTTATGCAAGCAGCCTTGAGGAAGTGGGACTTCTCTCAATGCGTCTGTTCAAACATCCCCTTTGGTGAGCAAGATTTAGACCTGAAATACTAGCTATTTTTACTTTGTGTGTCCTGAACTATTTTTCCTGCTGATAAAAGTTTCCAGTGCCAAGTCATAGCTCAGGCTCAGACCGACTTTTAACTCACAGCCTCCCTCTACCGACCTGTACTGTAAATGCATTATGGAGTATAGGAATGTCTTCTCTTGAGGAACTCTGCTCATAGGATGGGGGAGTGGCAGATATGACACACTATTTCTATTCCCGTCGTGAGTGGAGAGTTGAAGGCCAAGAGTCAATAAAACAATAATTCCACCCAATCCTGTGATTCATCTAAGAGAAGTCAAGATATATCTGCATGATATCCCAAAGCATATAGTCTCCCTCGGAACCTTCAAGTCTACATTTTATGATCTGCTTCAACTGATTAGTGGCTTCCAGCAAGTTATTTTTTCCTCACTTCCGTTCTAGCAGGGGTAGTGATAATTACCAACCTTCTCTGCAGTTCATGGTTTTCCTAAAGTGAGAATTACCATAATAATATATACAAGAAGGGTTTCCTCCTCAAAAATTATTGCTAGAAATCTGAAAGCTCTTATCTAAACATGATTTTCCAAAGTTTGTCTTGTTTCATAATGCCACTGGGAAGTCACAACCATTGGCTACAAATCTAGAGTTCATTGTTTCTAAATTAAAGAATTACATGATTTTTCAACCCTTACTGACACAGGGAAGTAAACATTTTTGAGTTTTGGAGGACTTTTGAGCTTGCAACGTATTATTTAGATTTACACTGCAGTTGATATTAATGAAGGGCTGAATGGAGTCTGTTTCAAGGCAAATAACACAGCGCCAACCGAACTACAGTATAATGGTAGAGACCACCAGTTAAGATGGGCTTGATTACAGGCAACTACACAGCACATAGTTTTCTTCACAATAATATAGAATTGGTCAGGCAATGCCTTCTTCCAGGATGGTTTTCAGTTTCTTTTACAGACCCAGGATTTTCTAGCTGTCCCCCATCAAAGATCTAATCCTACAGAGCACCTTCAAAATAAGGCAAATCCTGCATATCCACCTTGAATTTATTCTACTTCAGCTTAAGCATTCTTTTGCACCAGCTTGTGTCCTTTAAAATCCTGCCACTCAAAGAGAATGAGCGGTGAGGTCCCGGTGAGGTCCCGGTGAGGGATTGTTGTGATGGCAGGGTTAGAGTTAGGGACAGACAACCAGGGTCTACCTCAGAGAATGAGCTGAACAATCAAGCAAGCACCTTACTTCCTCCTTTCAATCATCTTAAGGCTTTCAAGTTTAACACCTAACTGCGCTGTTAGATCACTACTTTCCCAGTCACTCCTCTGATGGGCTGGGCCCTGAACTGGATTGTTTCAGTGATACCGTTCTCTCTGCTCCCCTCCTTTGAGTTATTTTCAAGCAGCCTTCCCCCCCAAGTTACAATTCCTGGGATTTACTATCCAAATATATCTGGAAAGCACCCGGTTGGGAAAAGTTGCATTAAGAGAACAAAATGGCAGTGAGAAAGCAGAATGAAGTACCGTAGGAAGTAATAAAGGAAACGAACAAAAATAAACCCCAATCTAGAAGGGTGGCACTTCAATTGTAACAATACATACTAAAAACGATTTACTTTTTTCTCAACTGTAAACTACCCCAACTTCCCCCTCCACAGGCCAATAAACTTAAGTAAACTCGGTTCTCCCATTATTTCAGCCTAATCCTAGCCAGCCGGTGGCAAGCGAGGATTAAATCTAAGATTCCGGCGGGGGGGGGGTAGGGGTTGGGGGGTTGGAATGAAAGAAAACTAAAAAAGTGGGGGAGCAAAGATGCAGTTATCCAGAGTAGGCTGCATATTTCTCTTCCCAATGAAACCCCACCTAACACCCCAAAACGCCGGAGCTTTGCTCGACTTTGCTCGCCAGTTACATTTTGTCCGTCCGTCCCCGTCCGTCCCCACAACGACCCCTCCCGCGTCTGGGATGCGAGATAACCGCGGCTCCTTTCGAGAATGGAACGCTGCTAAACCTGCAGGCTCGGCGCGCCGTCCAGACCAGAGCAAAGCGCCCCCGAGCCTTCGCCCCGAAGTCCGGCGAGACTCGCAGAGGTCACGCCACGGCCAGACCCCGAGAAACACAAAGAAGAGCGTCAAGAGACTCACCCAGGAAAGAGCGTAAGAAGAGGTCGGGCTCAGAGGAGCCACTTCACGCGCAAAGCTGGCCACAGAGGAGGATGGAGCAGGCGAGGTCTTGGAAGGAGGGAGGGAAGGAGGGGCAACTGCCTCACTGCCTGCCTGCCTGTCTTCTCACCTGCAGCCGACCTCAGGCGAGGCGGTGGGGAACTCCGCCGCCTTCGGCACAGGTGTAAGCGTGCTCCGGCTTGCTGGGTCCTAGCGCCTTAACGTCACCCACGAGGAGCCTAAAACCTCGCCTTATCTTGACGCGGGAATCTCATCCAGCCTCCGTTTTGCGAGTTTCAGCGTTCAAGATATTAAACGGACGAATCAAGCGGTGGGGTGGGGAAGAGGTAGAAAAAGGGCGGGATGGTGAGGGTGGTTTGCTTTAAAAAACACCCCAACCGTATACCATTTTGCACGCATGCTTTTCTTTCTTTCTTTCTTTCTTTCTTTCTTTCTTTCTTTCTTT